CGTCGCGAGACGCCCTGACAGAGTAGGCAGTACGAGCAGCAGCGTGCACAGCCTGCTGCGCAGACGTCGCGTCAATAGCAAGGGCGCCTGGGCGAGGGACAGCAGGGAGCTCACCAGAGACGTGGGCGTCCAGAGACTCGTCATTGACGCGCTGACTCGTGAGCTGAAGGAGAACGGCCTCTTGCTATGCGGCGAAACCGATTGCCCGCCCCTCCCCATCCAGGCGCAGAACGAAGACGCCAAGCAACGCCATGCTGGCAGCTGCGGCCGGAAAGACAGCGGCGGCAGAAGGAGGGACAGTGGGGGCAGCTGCTACAGGGGTAGCCGAGGAGCCGGTGGCAGCGGCGGCGGCTAACTAGCAGCGGGGGGATGACGGCGGCAGGCCAGTAGTGAGCTGGCTAGAGGCGGCAGCTCTGCGAGCTGGCTAGCGGAGGCGGCTGCATAGGTACGGGCGAGCAGCAGCAGTGGTGGTAGCAGCGGCTGCAGTGGCAGTGGCTACTGGCAGTAAGAGCAGCGGCAGTGTGGGCTGCAGCGGCAGGGGCAGCTGCAGGACGCAGCGTGGTAGCGGCAAGGGCAGCAACGGCAGCAGCAGCTGCACGGGCAATGGCGGCAGCTGTGGCTGCAAGGGAAGCAGCAGCAGCGGCGGCTGCAAGGGAAGCAGCGGTAGCAGTGGCTGCAAGGGCAGTGGCAGCAGCAGCAGCTGCAATGGCAATAGCTGCAGCGGCAGTGGCGGTAGCGGCAGCGGCGGTAGCTCAAGCGGTTGCAGCGGCCATGGCAACAGCAGCTGTGACAGCGGCAGCGGCGGCGGTGCAAGTGGCTGCAGCGGCAGAGCAAGCGGCAGCAGTGGCAGCGTCAGTAGCTGCAGTGGCAGCGGTAGTGGCTGCAGCGGAGAGGCGCTGCTGGCAATGGCAGCTGGCGGTCAGCGGAGCCAGCTGCTGGCTAGTGCGGGCAAGCGGCGGGCGGGCGCTGGCGAGCTGGCTGGCGCTGGCTAATGCTTGCGAGCTGACGCTGGTATGATGGCCCTGGCAAGCTGGCACTAGCATGCTGGCGCTGGCGAGCTGGCGTTGGCGGCTAGCAGCTAGCTGGCACGAGCTAGGTGGGGCGGGCTAGCTCGCGCTGGCAGGAAACTGCTAGCAGGGGCTGGCGAGCTAATGCTTGCGAGCTAGCGCTGGCGAGCTGGTGCCGGCAGGCTAACGCGGGCAAGCTGGCGCTGGCGAGCTGGCGAGCTGGCGGGCTGGCTGGCGCTGGCAGGAAACTGCTAACAGGGGCTGGCAAGCTAATGCTGGCGAGCTAGCGCTGGCGAGCTGGTGCCGGCGGGCTAACGTGGGCGAGCTGGCGCTGGCGAGCTGGCGGGCTGGCTGGCGCTGGTGAGCTGGCGCGAGCTAACGCTGGGCGGCGACAGGGACTCGCGGGGCGCGGGAGGATGGGGCGAGCTACGAACGAGCGAGGGGGGGGGGAATCGGCGACTATCGAAGGCGCCAGTTTGGTGCGAGCTGGGGGCGGCTGGCGCTGGTCGGCACTAGCTGGTGGCGGCTGGCACTAGCTGACATGAACTACGCGACGAGCAGGGGAGGGCGGGGAGGGGACGAGCTACGAGGCGCGCAACTAGGGGCGAGGCGCGCTAGGCTAGGGTGTGCTAGGGCGGAAGCGTGAGTAGAAGGCGAGACCTAGCTCTAGATGCCATTTTAGATTGTCGAGAGAAAAGTGACGAAGGGAAAAATGGTCGAGTGTTACAAAGGTAGGAATGTATCCTCTAAGAACTGACCTAACTAAGGCTATAACAAATATTCACTAGCTAGCCTAGACAATTATATTTGTTGACATGGGGGAGTAACGGATTTGCGGGGCGGGGGTACAAAGTCGCCTTGCGAGAATGAGGGATTTGCAGTACACAAATCCCACATTCCGCTCGATCGACTGTTTTTCACGACGGGCGAGGACAAATTCTCAACAAGCCACGTTACGCTGTAATCAATGTCCCAATGTGTAAGGAATTAGTAATTCCTTACTGAGGCTTGCTACAGGGCGTACGACTCGAACAGACCCGAACCAGCGATAGGGTTCCAGACCTTTCAATTCGAGCCTCCTTGGCCTTTCCGGACCTCGCTACGACACATCGGGGCCCTTCGAAACTTTTCCCAAACCTTCTGATCCTACGTCCAGGATCACCCTAGGCTTTCTATATATTGTATTGTCATTTCACGCGTTCACAGTTTCGCCATTGCCCTCCGCGCTACTCGGCAGTCCCATTCATAACTCTTGGTATTCAGAGCCACTTTCCTCACCCGCTGGGCTTCCGAGGGCATAACGTTTTTTTTTTGGGTGGGGGAGAGCCATCCCCTCGAGGGCCGTTGTGTCTGTCCTGACATAGCGAAGATTTTGAAGAGTGTTTCCGGTATGTTGTTCATTTTGCATATCGTTAAAGGGGCTTCGGTTGCAGTTCCGAAATTTCGGCAAAGGACGATTCGGATTGGTGTCCGAATGGAGCGAGGAGCTCGTCACGAGACGACAAGCTCGCGGATATCCCCAGGCGAAATGGATTTCGTCAGGAGCGCGTGTAGCAGACGTGGCTGCAAGGTGAAGTGTAGCCGATGTCAAGGGCTCGGCATTTCCGGCAGGCGACACGCAGGTGAAAGCGGACTTCGGAACTGTTAAGCAATGTTGCGTTGGAGTTTTCGGCACGACCAAGGATCGCACGGCAGCACACGTGGGGCTCATGCACGGAAAAGTTTCGGGGAGTACTGACCTCGAAATTTATTCGCGTGATCTGCCCGCCTGGAGGTGTAATTCGTCTGCCCTGGAGTTTCGAGCTCGGCGAGTCTGGATTTCCGCGGAGGAAGCCATTTTCGTGGTCAGAAATTATACCCCACGATCTACGGAAGACGACCGGCAACTACCCTCGGGTTGAGTTTAAGTGTCATCGCCGGGTTAAAGTCAACGACGAAGAGCTGAAGCAGAGATGGAGAACGACTGGGAACAGCCGGGAAATTTAAAGGATTCAGCGGCAAACGGATCCCCCCGACTGACTTGACTGGGTCGCCCGATTTTCAACACCACCACCCGGTACCAGTTCGGGTTTAAGACTACTCCGACGGTTCAGGCCGAATAATTGTGGTGATCCAGCGGATCACCCTGTGCTGGTGGATCGAAGAAAACTTTTCGGCGCTACATGACAGGCGCACGATTGGTGAAAATCGGACGCTCTACAGTGGGAGGCGTGTGAAGCAGTTTCGACGACATTTGCGAAGGAAATTTGTGGGGACGATCGTACGGTACGCGTAGCTCGAGTCCGATACGAACGGCGGGGATGTGTCGTCGACATCGACAGAGCTGCGAGTTTTTCGAAAGGACGTGCGCGGTACTGTTTTGGAGAACGATGAACGTGGGCGCTGGGTGAACAGCGGCCTACAGGAATTTTTATCGTGGAAACAGCAGTTGAAGAAATTTTGAAGCAGTTCTGGAGCAGATTTTTGCAGGAACGGGTTTTTTCAGGGATGGGAAGGCGAATCCCTCACGTAAGCTGCAAAGCGGTTGCCCGCGAATAAGACTGATTAATTTACCCAACTACGATAGCGTTTGCGCTTACCTGAGTACGGGCACACAGCGGATTCACCCTTGCCCTGGAGTGTAGTCAACAAATGGAGCTTCGAGTTACTGTTGCTGTGGGAAAAACGTGTTTCCGTCACGGAAAATTTAGAGTCACGCGGGAGTTTTCAAGGATTATTCATGAGTTGCGGGTCTACGCAGCTAGATTCCACGTGGATGGAGCTAGAGTCTACGTGGCGCAGCTGCCCTGCGTTATAGGTTCGCGCTGAGACTGAGCCCGACGAACAGAGTTGGAAGATACTGAAGTTTTCTAGGTCTGAAGAACCTTGAAGCAGGGTATTTTCGACATCGACGACAATAGATTTTCTTTTCATGGAGGGGGGAGAGAGCAGCTACGCAGCAGTTGTTTTTTTGGATTTTCTCTTGACAAGTTTGATATCTGCTGCAGGAGCATCGACGGACAGATGTTGTTTGACCGACTGAATCGACGGACAGATTCGAGTTGGCATTTCGGAAATTTCGCAGGAGTTTGCGAAAGTTGAAGGCGCGTTCATATTGACCGCCTGAAATGACATCGACTACGGTTACAGGACTGATTGAGCTTTCGTCCTTGAGATGATGGAATTCGCTGACTTTCGTGAGACACGGACGTGTGTTCTCGCATGTGTCGCGAATGACCTCGCAATTGACGAAGACATGGATTTCGTTGACTTGGCAAAATACGGACGCGTGTTTCTGCGAGTGTCACGACTCACGAGGAATTGAAGGATGAGCGATCTACAGTCACGGAGATACATACAAGTTTGGCGCATGGTGAAGATTCGGCTCCCCAACTTGTAGCAGCGTGATTATCGTAGTGTTACTGTGCGGATACAGTTCACGACGACTGGGTTTATAATTTTCGGCGAAGGACTCGCTGGAGACAAGGAAACGGTGGTGCGGTAGTATCCCCACTGCCCGTTTGGTTATCAGGGTAATTCGACCAAGATTCGATGGCTACGATCGACGGCGATCATTTCGACGTGTTTCGACCGTTGGATGGAGTTTCTTGAAGAAGCTCGAGATTCTCAACAGTGGTGGCTTTACTATTACGAGATTCAGTAAGAGTGTGTGTAGTTTTGTTTATTTGTGTACTTATCTAGAAGGCGGCAGAGTGAAAGGAATTAGGAATTCCTTACTGAGGCTTGCTACAGGGCGTACGACTCGAACAGTCCCGAACCAGAGAAAGGGTTCCAGACCTTTCAGTTCGAGCCTCCTTGGCCTTTCCGGACCTCGCTACGACACATCGAGGCCCTTCGACACTTTTCCCGAACCTTGACACATTTATAACACAATGTTTATAGTTTGAAAATAACTCATGGAATGTGTACCGCGGCTTTAACTAGAGCCCAATGCCGCGGCCCGCGAATCCCAATGCTGTCTGATCCAAGTTTAAAGCGAGGGTCTCAAGAAGCAGAAAACCAAATCCAAAGGTTTTGGATTTCCCCCCGATATTGACAGGGTTACCCTTTTAAGCCCCGCGACCAGCAACGACCTGAGAAGCGAGATCCTGATTGGTCCAACCATCCGTACCAAACAACTGAACGACGCACCACCCCCCAACCAGTCGCACAGAGCTATCAAGTCCCAAAGGTTTGTCAAACCATTTGGGACGTAAGTGCCACCGCCCTCACCGCCGTGAAACTCGCGTAGAGGTGAGTTTATTCCCGTTACGCATGTCCTCAGCGTATTTTGTGATTTGCTCGATGTAGGGTAGAGAATGCGTGCACAAGCCGCGCACAAGAAAGGGCAAAAAACGTGACCCCGCTACCGCTTACCTCGAGTCACTCGCTTTGGGTTGTTGTTAGTTTCACGACCAACGCGTAAACGGTCATCGTTTTCTCCGCAGTCATTCGTGACGCCCTAAGCCCATTTACCGTAACCCCCCCCCCCTGCCCTGCTCGTCACGCTATCCCCCTCCGCTACTCATCCCGCCATCCTCCGCTCATCTCGTCCCGCCTTCCCCTCCCCACGCTCGTCTCTCCGCCCCCTCGCCCTGCTCGTCCCTCCATGCACTGGCACTCATAGTGCCGCCATCCCCTAGCTCCGCTGTTTCTGTCACCTCGCTGCACCTGCTCACACCACCTGTCCTCGAGCAATGTGCTCAAAGCGTGGAATACCAAACCACCGTGTCCGGTGACTATGCACCCGAAATACCCTAGCCGCCTTGCTCTTCCCGCCATTCCGTCGCCCCACTCTCTCTCCCACAACCCCTCGCCATGTTATTCCTCCCCCTCCCCTCCCCCCATGCTCTCCCTCCAGAGCCCCTCGCGATGCTCTCGGATAGGAGTGGGGATGCGGCATGTGGCAGATACTCGCACGGGGAGAGGCGTAGAGGGGGGAACGGCGGATAGGAGCGTGGGGAGAGGCATAGAGAGGGGGGAAAGGGTGGATAGGAGCGTGGGGAGAGGCATAAAGAGGGCGGAGGGGCGGATAGGAGCGTGGGGAGAGGCATAGAGAGGGGGGGAAGGGCGGATAGGAGCGTGGGGAGAGGCATAAAGAGGGCGGAAGGGCGGATAGGAGCATGGGGAGAGGCAGAGAGAGGGCGGAAGGGCAGATAGGAGCGTGGGGAGAGGCATAAAGAGGCCGGAAGGGCGGATAGGAGCGTGGGGAGAGGCATAAAGAGGGCGGAAGGGCGGATAGGAGCGAGGGGAGTGGCATAGAGAGGGGGGGGAAGGGCGGATAGGAGCGTGGGGAGAGGCATAAAGAGGGCGGAAGGGCGGATAGGAGCGTGGGGAGAGGCATGAAGAGGGCGGAAGGGCGGATAGGAGCGTGGGGAGAGGCATAGAGAGGGGGGGAAGGGCGGGTAGGAGCGTGGGGAGAGGCACAAAGAGGGCGGAAGGGCGGATAGGAGCGTGGGGAGAGGCAGAGAGAGGGTGGAAGGGCGGATAGGAGCGTGGGGAGAGGCATAAAGAGGGCGGAAGGGCGGAAAGGAGCGGTGGCAGCCGCTGCCGCCGGAGACCTCGGCGATGGGTTGGCACGGTGGCCATCTTCAGCAGCCACCGCCGGCCCCGATGTCCTTTGACACACGGGCGGCTGGGCCGTTTGATCCCCCCCGTCGGGCTCTGGCGTCGCCGACTGGAGTTGAGGGGGGGGCAGAGTCAGCGGAGATGGGGGGCGCGGATTCCCCGGGTGAGGGATCTCCACGCCGGGAGTCGGAGCAGCGCTGCACGGGCGGCGTGCGTATGCCGCCGAGGTTGCAGATGGAGCGGCTGTGAGGGCGGGGGCGGCCCGCGGCGACGGCGGTCCCAGTCGCCACGCTTCGTCGGCTCTGGCACGCGTGGCGGGCAATGGGGATCGCCGTGGAGATGCTGGCGGACTCGCACTCCGTGCTACGGAGCTTAGCGAGCCCGTGCAGGATGCCTCACGACCCCCTTAATCGCTGTGCGATGGCAGCAGCTGATCTCACTGTCGTGTCGACGCAAGTGCAGCTTGTGCCCGCCTCGGGAACCGTGCTGGACCCCCGCCTGCTCGTCGTGATGCGAGCCGTGTCGTGTCAGCGCTCCAGCTCCTGGTGGGCTATGTGGCAGCCCTGCTCGAGGAGGCTGGGGCTGATCAGGTCGCGTGAAGGGCGTCCTCCGTGAATATCTGCGCGTAGGCGACGCGCCCACCAGCGAGAGCCTCTCAGCTCGGCGGATGAGGCTCTCCATGCCTCTAGGATAGGTAGACTCTAGAGTGTGTGTGTGGCAGGGGTTGTCATTGCTTGTTTTTGTTGCCTGGTGAATGGAGAGTCCTTGCCGTCCCCTAACGCGCGGCCGAAGGCCGCCAGCGTGAGCCGCCACCAAGGGAAGGAGACAAGAAGAACCTGAAAATAAAACAAGGAAATGAAAGGGGAGAGAGCTCTAAATACTAAGGGCCAGAGGGTCCTCTCTCTCTCTCTCTCTCTCTCTCTCTCTCTCTCTCTCTCTCTCTCTCTCTCTCTCTCTCTCTCTCTCTCTCTCTCTCTCTCTCTCGCTCTCGCCGCTGGCAGGGAAGGAGAGATGAGAACTGAACTAAAATCAGGGAAAATGAGAGGGAGAGGGCCTTATATAGCTAGGAAACGACCCATGCTCTCTCTCTCTCCCTCTCCCTCTCTCTCTCTCTCCTCTCTCTCCTCTCTCTCTCTCTCTCTCTCT